GTGTAAGTACTCAGTTACAACAATAATACCCAACTCTCAACCATTTGGGTATTATTGTTGTAACTGAGTACTTACACTTCCTAATTATTCTAGTACAGTTGAATCTGGTGTAATGATGTATGGTTATGCTCGCACTACATCCCACTGAGCCAAAAAGACTACAGTATTCCGGCTCGCCCGGAATACGCGTAACACGTTTTATATACCACATGTACTGTAACAGCGGCACCCGTTACACCTGGATATAAGGATCCCTCGATATAAGGATACATGTAGTGAAATTTCAATTTCACTACATGTAGCAATTATTACCTTACACATATCCAGTTCAACAGTGAGTCTCTGGAACTCTGCCCAAAAGGTAGCAAAGTTATCCTTGTTTTGGAAGAGCTTTCTATAAGCGCGTTGTGCAGTAAAGCGGCGGTCTGAATCACTGAAGACTCTGTCTAGGACTTCAAACATTTCCTCTACAGTTTGAAACTTGTTCTGAGTAGATCGAAGGCGTGGATTGATGTGAGAGGAGGCTTTGCCACCTAGTCTGCTTTGCACATAACCCATCTGAAGGGCTGGAGTAGGAAAATGGTCAAGGTTCGCTTCGAGCTTCATCTTTATATTAATGCTCCAATCGTCATAAGCTGGCTCTATTCCGTCTATGAGAGTAGGAGGGTCTGGGATCTTAGTGGATTTCTGGTGTGATTCTCTATTGCGAGTAGTGCTGCTTTTTGACTTCTCATTTTCAAGATATTTCACAACAGCAGCTTGTCCTGCCATTATCTGCTCATGAGCTTGAATAACCTCTTGTAGCTGGCTGATATTGTCATCATATGTAGCCTTCTCCTCTCGACTCTTCTGGAGGGTAGTATTGTAGAGCTGGGTGACATGATCATAATCCCCCATCATCTGCTTTTGGATTTGAAGCATAGCCTCTCTCTGGACTTGGCTCCAGCTGCTCACAACTGAGAGGTCTTTAAGCTCCCAAATGCGAAGGGTAGCTTGGTGTTCTGGATCCTCGAGTAGTGTTTCCCTTCTATTGTAGGTGTGGCTTTCTAAGCAGTCCTGATTGCTTGTAGTAGATTGGGTTTCTTGTCCTTGATCTTGACTCCTGTCATGGATGATATATCCTTGTGCATCGCGTGCCATTATAGCAGGCTTCGCTTCTTGTCCTTGGAATTGTCGAGGTTAGGATCTTCTTCTGACTTTGTTGGTATCAGGAACTAGACATGTATGTGGTGAAGGCCCTATTATGCAGTTGTCGGCCGTACGAGCCACTCAAGAGGAGCGCACTTCCGTCACGGTTATATCCTTGTTGAGGGAGTGTCATGGAAAGGTCTAATTCTGCTGATATAATGTTCTGTATTCTGATGCTTGAGTGTGGTATTTAGTTTACTTGTGGTTTCTGGATTTGATGTTCTGGTGTTCTGGTTCTGGTTCTGGTTCAATGTGTAGCTCTGGTTGGTCTGAGTTTTGATTCCTGGTTTTGGAGGTTCTGTTGCTCAAAGGTTTGTGCTGGTTTCTGGTTTGAGGGTTCTGTTGCTCGAAGGTTTGTGCTGGTTTCTAGTTTCTTGCTCAGGATGAGCTAATGAAGAAATGAGATTCAATCTTATGTTACGATGGTCATAGAGGTCATGATGCTAGTCTAGGAAAAGTAATATAGATTGAATCTAAAGAGAGAAGAAGAAGAAGAAGGAAGGAAGGTGAGGCTATTTCTCATAACATACAGTTGTCTGCTTAGCGGTTGTAACCTTGGTGGCTAAGGCTACACCCGTAATCCCCATAACAACCGTAACAACCGTAATAACCATAACAACTGTAACAACTGTAATAACCGTAACAACCGTGACAAGCTGTGAGCTGTAATCATAACACTTAAGGGGATTGACCCAACGGGGTCCCTCTCCCTCAGTGACGGAAGGTATCTGAGTCAGACAAGTTACGGTCACGTGGTGAGAGTGAAGGCAGGTTAGCCGAGTCGGACCCGTTTCGGGTACTTAAGGGGATTGACCCAACGGGGTTCCTCATCATCTTTTTTGTATCCTTCATAGTAGACCTATAGGATAGCATCCATTTAGCCTCCGACTCACACTCTCATATGCTATTACTGTGAGCTGGGTGCCTGTGTCCTTACAGTCTAAAGCCATATCTTGATAATATTAATACTAGAGTACACTTGAGATTCTGCAAATGGGCATTATCAGAACTTAAAGCTGTTCTATCTTCATATTCTTAGATGAGTCAATATCAACTTTAGAGGAAATCCACATAAGAAATGCTAAATAAAAGTTCAACAAGGTCAAACAGCAGAAAGTATGCAGTTCAACAGAAGAAATCTCTCTTTCAAGTTATGTTCTAGGGTGTAATGAGTTCTGAAATCTCTGTCTTATGCCCATCACTATCATGGATCCCTAAGAGCATTAAAGAAAAGTGGCAAAATGTGTTGAAACTTCGGGAGATGAATACATACTGGCAAAAAAAGGCAGATGATGAGCTTTTATAGGCAAGAACAGTTAGAACTCTTGAATATAAATATATGGAGACTTTGAACAGAGATATTTAAGAAGGGAAAAAAAAGCAAATGGAAACGGCCACTAAGACCATCATAATAATTTAGGGATATAGAGAGTTGGATGTAATGCTGACTTCTAAACTGTAAGGATGCCTCCTAGCCTCCGACTTGCACTCTCATATGCTATTACTGTTAGCTGGGTGCCCTGTGTCCTTACATAAACGATAGAAGACACAGATGTTTCTTGCATAAGATTGACTTGACAGAGGAGGCAGGGGATTAGACACAAAGGCTTTCCAAGTAACACGTTACAGTATTGTAAAGAATACTATATTGAGTTGAGCACGAAGCTCCTATCTAAGGAAATACTATCTACTTATATAGTGGCGTCGTGCCTGATGGGTAATCTGGATAGTTGGCGGATAGCTAGATATTCAGGATAGTTCGTGGATAGCTCAACTATCCAATATCCACTAGTTTCTGCAACTATCCATTAGCCCCGTCACATGGCAGCCTACCCTGCTTGCCCCCTGTGACTCACACGTCACGTTACTAGGCCCTGGCCCTGTAACCATGACATCATGTTACTGTAGCCGTAACAAATAGGCACTCTGGTTCAGCCTCCATTGCTAGTATTGATAGAATATCTAATGCCATATGGTAGTAAGAACTGGAAGCTCTGCCGCTTTGTATTGGCTCTTCTAAAGATCTTGCACTGCCTCTTTTGCTGCTATAACCCATTCAAGTGGTCAATAGGCGTCAAAATAGGTCCACTTCTGTGATGGTATTAATACCATTGTAGCGGTATATACATTTGACCTCTGTGTTAGGGTATAATATTGATTGAATTTGGCCTAACCCAAGCTTATCATTAGCGCCATAAATGCATCATCAATGTACTTGATTTTCTGCTGCTCAAGGTGATCTAAAAGGTAATCCATTGTAGGCAAGACTCTTTTAAGTGTAGCCTGTCGCCCTTCTGTTGCAAGGGTTGCCTCTTGAAAAGACTATATGACCTCGTGGATATGCTCAAGCTTGGTCCATTCTTTAGGTGCTAGTGTATCCAACTGAATGTCGGCTTTGTATTAAAAGCAATAAAGGTCAATTGCAATCCTTATATTAGCCTAGATCGCGCGATCGATCATTGCAAACCAAGAGTTCTAGCGAGTCTGTTGATCTCTAATAAGATGCCTGCCATGGCTTAACTGTAAAAAGGTCTCTTCTCTCTAGGGACTAAGTTGAATGAATACAACAATATTATGACTTGCTAAGAGGGCCCTTTTGATGCCAGAGATCCATTTCTAACTTAGTAAGAGTAGTGTATATACTAAGGTTGCTTTTAGAAGAGAATGCTTCTTTATCATATCCAAAGAGGAAAGCCTAGGCAACAAGATTGATAATATGGCCATTGTAATGAAGCCGATGATGTATAGCATTATATTCAATGTTATACTCATTAAGTAGCAGAGCTGAAAGAGTTACAATCATAGTATCATTATTAGTTGCGTTATCCATCATGAAGTAGCCTAGCTTTAAACGTACTTCGAAGCATTTAACAAGTTTCGAAGAAAAGAGTGAAAGAAAAACAACCAATTGAGGAAGATGGCAATGAAAAGGAGATTTCAAAACTCTGCAATTACCTTCACAATTATATAAGGGCTTGATTCTCTCCTGTATGCCTTCCATGGAGCTCTCGTAAGCCAAGCACTAATTGACAGAGATCTCCCTTCTCTGTAATATAGTGGCTAATAATGCCAACTAGAGGAATCATGTTCAGAGAAGTTCAAAGATCTATGGTAAAATGAATCTTTGAAAGTGCTGACTGTACACGTGCTATCACTTGGTTTTGTTCATTGTCGTAGCATCTCATTATCCATTTATATATTGTACTGTGACTTGTTAAAAGCCAGTTATTGACCTCTGGATTGAGGTATGCAAGGAGGTTTCTAAATTCAGAGATTTTGGCTATATTAAAAGAGACCGAACAACATGATCTCCCAATCCACGTCCGACATTTCTCTAGTATTAGCAGAGTAGTTATCTATTGGTATGAGGCTGCTTGGAATAACATCTCTTGATCAGGCCAATCCTGATCTTGTCAACGCCAGTCGTCTAATGTCTGATATATGACGGCCAGAACTCAGTCAGCTATAGAATATTGTAATCTAATTTATTATTAACAAGAGTATTACACGCCGCAAAGATGATCACATGCAACTTTTCAACCCAATTCAGTAGGATAGGTAGGAAATGTGAATCAGGCTACTCTATAAGCGGTGCAACACGAGGAAGTAGCCCTTGTCCTTATCAGCTATCTGTTCTTCGGTCAGGTCTGGTAGGCTCCGGATGATGCCACGGTCTCGAGTAATGATCAAATATGATACTACGAAGCTATCGCTTGCGGATATTAGAGCGTATGTTGGGACGTCTTATTTACTTCACTGGAATCACTATTCGCACAGCCCTGCTTCAAGAGTTGCGAGTTTTTCATATTAGCGGCCTGCGCTATTCAACTACAACCACGACCTCACTGTCCATCACTCAATTTCCTCCCAGCGCTCATCGACTTTATCAAAGGATACAGATTCCTCAGCCCATTCATCATGGAAAGCCTCAATAGCTACCCCCCGGCCCTTCAACCCGTCAAACAACTGCTTACAAGCATTCTTACCCTCCCTCAGTTCTTCCTCCGTTGCTCGCCTCTTCTTCCCGCCTTCCTCCTTATCCTCATACGCAAGATCGAGCACGAAGCTCAGCCTTGTGAGGTTGGGGAGGTACTCCGGGTTTGCAAAAGCCTCAAGCCATTTGCTCCAATGTTCTGATTTGGCAAGGGAGACTGGGCCGCGGAAGCGAAGCGTAGAAATGTTGGGGGGGGACTGCTTATAAAACAAAGGGAGAAACTCGGCCTTATCGAAGATGTCGCCCACGGTGAACACGAACGTTTTGAGCTCAGTAAGCTGCGGTAGAATCTCGTGGAACATCTCCTTCGGCGTGAGATGGAAGTCGTGTCCGCTAGTCGAGCGAAGATTCAGCGTCTCTATTAACATCACAATATGCGGTAGGGCGAGGGCCATGCGCGTAAAGGTGTCTAGCGCGTCGTTCTCGAGAATCTCCAGGATTTCCGTGTTGACGCTCTCTGGAGCTGGAGTTTCTGACTCATTACAACGATCGGGGTTGGTGTATTTGTCGCGTAGCCAGTCAAAAGCAAGACCGGGCAACGACACAATTTCGATCTTGCGTTCTTCTGGCGTGCCCTCACGCACTGTAATATAATTCGCCTCCGCCTCGCCTCGCTCAATAGCTTGCTTGTTTGCGCGTGAAAGTTCACTCGATGTCGGCCCTTCGAAACGCAATCCTGCTGTGAGGAGAAGAATGAGGTGCTTAACTCGTCCTTCTAGCACGACGGGGCTGCAAAACCTCTCGCCGCATGAAGAGCTGATTAATAAGCGTTCAATTGGCCAATTCGTTGGGATGAGCCCGTCGTTCAACTCTTCATTAAAGCCAGATTCCATTTCTAGATTCTGGACGTTGCTGAAATGATCGCTTATAAGTCTCCATTCTGTGTCAGAAGGCGTATCATGGTCGATTTTTAGAGATTGGATATCCCTTTGTACATTTTGCAGTTGACTGAGTAGCGCCTCCTTGTGGTCATCCTTGTCTTCCTTGTGAGGGCCTTGGACCTTGAGCGTGACAGAATCTTGCCATCTCGACATGTTTTTTAACCTTGCAGCAGATCTGTGGATATCACTGTTCAACCTGATACCTCCATCCAAGTCGATATGCTGCCGTCTTATAAAAACTCCAAAAAAAGGCGACGCACGCTGGAAAAGCCTGGTGGTGTTAATTCTGAGTAGGAATGAGGTTGAACCTGGGCGCGTCGAGAGGCTTGCCAAGAAATGCTAGTTGGTAGTTCGTTAATACAGACCACCAGAGGAAGCAGTGGACAAACCATTAATGCTACAATTCTGTGCCAGCTGTCAATGATGCTAATTAAATCTGATTGCAATTATATTGTTAGTAGTTCAGTAGTTCTGACCAGACCAGTGGTAGCCTAATCGCCGCTACGCCTTATCGGGAACAAGGGGTCACATCATCCCAGACCCCAGACAGCGGGACGGACCATTGGTTAGGTCCGTCATCACACAAGTCTGATCGAATTGGTTGACATTGCTAGACAACTTTATCCATGTTACCTTAATGCACAGTAAGGTTCCTGTTGACGTGAAGTATCCTGCTATCGCAGTATGGTCACATGGCCGAGTAAATGATTGCCCAGATCTAGTTATGGAAATAAGCAATGCTTGGCTGATTGGGTGGGAGCAATGGCTGTGCTAACGGTCCCCTCACCCACCCGCATACCTAACGCAAGTCATGGCGTAACGGCATAATGGCGTAACCGTTAACAACCACAACTTCAAAGACCTAACTTACCTCTTAGGCAAGATTAGGTCTTACATTCAAAGGCATCCTAACTTGCATGTTAAGCTGACCTTGGACCTCCTTTCACTTCCTATAGGCTAGGAACCTAGGAGATGGTTCTGTGGGATTCTCGTATGTCGACTACAGTTACCAAGCCTGGTTAGTCATGGAAAGTCTTGGAAAATAAGAGAACTACACTTCTTTAGCATAAATAGGATTGCCCTTTCCTTAAGAAAGGGCAAGCAGACAATACAGTAAATCTATCACATACTTCTATGTCTTTTCCAAGCTTCCAAGCATTGATCTTGTTATTCCTTGTTTCTGAAAAGTCAGTGAGGTGCTAACCTCTGACTTATCCCTGAGTTCTCAGACTCAACATTTGTTACAACTTGTCTAAACCACTCCACTACATCATACACCTGATTGCTGCATTGTGGAATAGTCTAGGCTACAACCCTTTGGCTCTGTTTCCTAAGACAGTGTGTTGTCTTAGTAAAATCATCCCTTCCTTGGGTGGCTAGATTCTCACATCTGGTGCACCCACCATTACACTTTGTTCTAATGTAATACTGTGCCTCTGGCTCATGATCCTAAGAATATGTCAAACTGGATATAACAATAATCGGGTGGAACTGTAACGATTATCGTAGTATTGTAAGTTGTGTGGAAATAGAATTGGTTCTGAAAAATATATTATGATATCAAAAATATCGTTGTATCCAGGATCGTTATAACAGGGGTTTGACTGTACTCCCGAAAAATAAATACATTGAATTGTACATAATTTACCTACGAAAATTCAGTGTTAGCAGTAGTATTTGACTATTGCAATATCTATTGTATCAAGACAAAATGGAGCCTTTAGGCGCATCATCGCCACCCCCTAAATTAAGTGTTCTTTCTAGCCACAATACTCCAGACCTCAAATCGTTCGATCTAGTCACATCCTCCTCTTCTACCAAACGATATAGACAAAAACCAACAGAAAAGCGTCAGGCGCGGACATTCTTTCTATGGAAGCATATGCCGGGTCCAATTGACACAATATATCAACAGGAAGGCTCTGAGGCTATATACTAGCATTGCAAGTATTGCCCAAAGGAGTACAGAGAGTCTGGTGGTATAGCATTTATTGCAGTTCATCTACAAACTGTACATGAGGATTGTTGATAGCCAGGAGCAACAAAACACCCTCTAGCAATTAAGTATCTCTACTGCGATGGCACGAGGCCTTGAAATGCCAAATTGGCTGCTGAATATGGGTGCCAAGGTGTTCTACTGAGCAACCACGGAGGGAGACAGAGCCACGGATCTCCGAGCTCTCTCCTGACTCTTCTAGAGATCTGTACTTATTAAGTGCTTGAGCGCCACGGCTGTGGGAATTGGTCAGCCGATCCTATATGCAGTCGCAGCTTACGTCACAGCGGGTGTGGAAAAGTGCCTCGATAGTAAGCCTCCGACCCTGTAGCTCCTCCAGCCCATTCTTCTCTGATCCACTTCAAATCTTTTCATGTCAGGCTAGAGCTTAAACTGCTGGATAAGAGGTGCTACGTATATAGTGACGATAATGATTCTGTCGTTAGTCACGCGTCACGGTACATCGACATAAGTGAGTTTTAATAACTGTAAGCAAGTGGCTTAGATAGCTTATTCGAGACCTGCTCTGGCGTACGTTATCACCACTTTTCTAGTAGACTTAAAGGGATGTATGCGGGAAGACGATCAAGAAGCCAACGAAGGTGAGAAGAAGCACAAAAACAACAAGCTTTGAAAAGAAGGGACAAGCTTTTGAAAGAGGTGAGGCTCGAAAGCTTCGCCTCAAAGATCGTCCTCAACGACGCTGAGCAGCAGTTATAAAAAGGGACTGTTTCCTTCCATTTTATCAGTTAAATCCCTACCCTACCTCAGATCATCCTTGTTAAAGTCAATTAATAATCATAATCATGCTTTTGCAATCATTGTTCGCTATTGCCGCCCTTGGCGGCGTATTGCTTGCTGACAAGAAGGGACCCAAGACGGTATACAAGCATGTCGCAGCAATCAGCATTGATGGTCTGCACAGCTCCGATATGCCCAAGTATGTTGCACTAGTTGCAAAGAATGTGTTTTCTGGATGGTCTAACTATCGTATTTCAGGAGAAGAGCTACTGTTATATGCATGATTGTATTGTTCCAGGCTCTTCCAGAAATCTCCAAGCAGACAAAGACCAAAGACCTGTCACAGCTCACCACTGAACAAAGCCAGCGAAAGTGAGAGAAGCGTGAGAGAAGCTTCTCAAAAACAACAGCACTTTCCAAAGTCGACTATTGCGGAGCTCCTCGAGACCGGCTATGAATTTACCGACACACCTCTGCGCTTCGGATTTGTTCCCAGGTGCAATTATCTATTCTCGGGTGCAAAGCCCAAGAACCCACGGTGTCTGGTACGACGGTACCTACGACCGAAAGTTCTGGCTGCCATTTTCTACTACGGGCACTAACTGCCCAAGGTCCTGCTGGTGCTGAAGGTAAGTTGAGAGAAGTCGACTCGTTGAGAATGTTGGCTAATTCTCTAGTTGCCTTTAATGAGAGTAAAGATTATGATTCCACGCTCGAGGGTTTGCGGAAGGTTCAATGGGCTGATGCCACCGGAGTGACATCAGCCCATTGAACCTTCCGTAAACCCTCGTCAATCGAGTCTGCACGAACGTGTACCCTCACCAGCGTTCCCGCGTCAACACCATCTTTGAAGTCGTGCACAAGGCCGGCCACTAAACCACCTATGCTGACAAGCACCCCGCCTACGACCTCGCAGGCAAGGGTCTTTCCATCGGCTACTTCCCCGAGATCGCGGCCATCCCAGTCACCACAGATACGACCATTGCATATGACAAGCTGCACGTGAACGCCTTTATTGGGTGGATCATGAACGGCACCACCCCAGAGCACTCTGAGATCCAAGAGAAGCTGACTGGTGTCCTTCCAGGCTGTTTCGGTTGCACAGAAGACGAGTGGTTATGTGGCCAAGACCCTTGACTTCACACCCCAGCCCCTCAAGGCTCTCGACTTCGTCGATGCTTCTCTCGGTCAAGTTGTCGCTGCACTCAAGGCTAGGGGTGTCAACGACGAGACATTGATTGTCGTGGCCTCCAAGCACGGGCAAGCACCCATTGCCCAACGAAGTATGCCAAGATCAATGGCGATCTGGTCTCTGCCCCGACGTCATCCATGCCACCACCGATGACATTGCTCTGATCTTCCTCAAGGACCAAACCAAGACAGAGACAGCAGTTGCAGGTCTCAATAAGCAACGCGAAGCCCTAAAGATTGAGGATATCATCTACGGCGATCGCGTCGTCGACCTCGGCTACGGCAACCCACTGACCGATTCTGCGGTCCCGGATATCATTGTCAGGCCAACTGAGGGCATCATTTACACTACGAGCACTGCAAAGATTGCTGAACATGGCGGTATCAATGCGGATGATAGGAAGGTGGCTTGTTTCGTTAGCGCACCGGGGCTCAAGAAGACCAAGGTCAACCAAAATGGCGTCCAGTTGGCTGTATTTTAGAGCGCATCAGCCAGAGTAGCTACAGTATTCTAAATTGACAAGGTTACCACTGATCTTGGAGTGTGTATTGATGAGGTATTAATGCGATGAATCTATTACCAAGCTGCTCGAGTATACAGTACTGTGACCGTGATTTGCCGATCAAATATAATTTTATCGCAACCATGTCCCCTCACCAAAATACAAAAGATGCTGTTGGGAATTCTTGTATGGGGAAAGCAACGTTGTAGCTGAAATAAGCAAATCCAAGAAACACTTCCCAAGGAGCCTACCCACATCAATCAGCGCTACTGCACGCATCTCTGGATCCCCGCGTTTAATCTCCCTGCCGCGATCTTCCAAGGGGGGGAACGTATCATTAATATTTTACTAGTACAGAGAAGCTTTATGTCAAGGGTTACAGTGTTCTGCCTTGACCGTATTCCGGTTAAGCGCGTAAAACAAGACTTGCAATGGTTCCCCTTGATTATTGTGCTAGATTGCCGCTTGAAAGTAGAGGGATTTAGCACGTGGGCCTGCACGTGGGCTGGCACGTAGATGTAGATTCGTCTTAGACGTCGGTCCTGTCCATACAATGCAGGGAAGCAATGTCCCTTACCTAGTGTCCTCGGGACGGCTCAGATATGAGATACAAGGATGTTCTTGTTGAGGAGCTGGGAAATCATTTATTAGTTTAAATAGATGATTCCGTCGCGTTTCCAGGACGTCGGTAAGTGCTGTAGCCATGTTTTCCTCTCTGGGAGCTGCTGCCTTCGTGGCTACTTTCACCCAGCCTCTGGCTACCCAGCCATGTAACCACGCTCTTGGCCCTACCCAGATCCGCCTGGCTTATGCTGGTGATAATGGCATGGCCGTTAGCTGGAACACGAATCGGCAGCTGACCAAGCCTACTGTGTACTACAATAAACATGAGAAGAAGGTTCTCAAGCATTTCGCTACGTCAAAGATCTCCACTACCTACCCGACGTCGTCTACCTACAACAACCATGTCATCAGCGACCTTAAGCCGGACACCACCTCAATACTCAGAGTTGTTTGATTCTGACAATCCTATTGCAGATGTATTCTCAGACTCTTTTTCGTCTTCTCAACGACTATCCTCGTTAAATCAAGTCCCTCCAGGCCTTGAGTATATTGGCAAATTAAACCAATTCAAATGGACCAAGGATACACACGATATATTCATTGAGTGGTGGAAGCTATCACGATGGTATGAACAACACTCAGAACAACACTCAGATCATACTACAAAACTCCTTACGAAGATTGCATGGGATTCAACCAACCGGAGTTCTCAATACTGGAGAAGTTATCACCAAGAGCAGACCGGCTTTCTGGAGAACCATGCGTCATTTGTACTTATTGTTCGAAGGCCCTTACGCATCCTCCAATCAAGTCTGCTGGCCCAAAGTCTATGGCAACACATCTTGCATCAGACATTTGCAAAAAGAAGTCACGGATGGGTAAGGATAGTCTCTATCAAATGCGAATCAATCAAATGCGACCTCAACAAGTAAGGATTACCAGATTGTTACCAGAATCATGTAGGTTAATACCTATAATAGGATCATATTCTCACACAAGAGATATTTTATGAACAAGTTCTATACACAGTTATCTCGACTCATAGCTCGTTCTGCTCAGTCGAGGATCCTCACCAAGACCCTATAAATACTTTAGGTATTAGTAGGTCTGGCCAGCCTCATCAAGCAAGGTGGAGGGATGTTCTTAAGCATATATAATAGCAGGTGGAGGGATGTTCTTAAGCATATATAATAGATAATAGCGTTCTGATAATCTTCTGATAAGCATGGTACTTTGATAGAGGAATATACATGATTCATTCTCACAGCTTACTAGAGATGGCGAGAGTGATGCTGATAGATGCAATACTTTAACTTAACCATAAAACAGTATTAATCGTATGAGGGACTGTTCACATGATGCATAAATCTTACATGTAATAGCTGAGTACTCACTGGGTTTTTACAGAGTAACTCAGTATTGACCTCACTCACCGAGTCAAGTAAAAGGTTCAGCTACTCACCCAGCTGAGTAACCCACTGAGCGAGTGAGCCGAGTATTGAGCGAGTAGTGCGCAGCCTACAATATCAGGTGATGGATAACATTGGATATCATGGATATTATGTTATCCATGTTATCCACAGATATCCCTTTGGCATGACACCACTATATAAGTAGATAGTATTTCCTTAGATAGGAGCTTCATGCTCAACTCAATATAGTATTCTTTACAATACTGTAACGTGTTACTTGGAAAGCCTTTGTGTTTAATCCCCTGCCTCCTCTGTCAAGTCAACCTTACGCAAGAAACCTCTGTGTCTTCTATCGTTTAGAAGTCAGCGTTACATACACGTCATCACTCCTTAGTTACCCACAAGATTGGTTAAGTTATGACATAATTTGTCTATAGGGGTACTCTGACCTTGGACCTCCTTTCACTTCCTATAGGCTAGGAACCTAGGAGATGGTTCTATGGGATTCTCTTACGTCAACTACAGTTACCAAGCCTGGTTAGTCATGGAAAGTCTTGGAAAATGAGAGAACTACACCTCCTTTAGCATAAATAGGATTGCCCTTTCCTTAAGAAAGGGCAAGCAGACAATACAGTAAATCTATCACATACTTCTATGTCTTTTCCAAGCTTCCAAGCATTGATCTTGTTATTCCTTGTTTCTGAAAAGTCAGTGAGGTGCTAACCTCTGACTTATCCCTGAGTTCTCAGACTCAACATTTGTACAACTTGTCTAAACCACTCCACTACATCATACACTTGATTGCTGCGTTGTGGAATAGTCTAGGCTACAACCCTTTGGCTCTGTTTCCTAAGACAGTGTGTTGTCTTAGTAAAATCATCCCTCCCTTGGGTTGATTCTCACATCTGGTGCACCCACCATTACACTTCTCTCCTAGTTCTACAATATGTAGATCAAGTGCTGCTTTTAGAATATACTAGATAGCCTAATGCACTACTTTGTATACTACATGCCCCTTTAAAGTAAGTTATATACTTTAGATCATTTTTCATTGTGTCACGTGGTTAATATGGCCTGTATATGGCTAGTATACAGGCTCTGTATTATATTAACCAGTGCTAGTGCGTATTAAGTTGATTCTACTCATTCCATACTACCTTCCATGTCCTTATATTGAAGATTCAGCCTTACGTCCGGGGATTTGAGGGTTCAGCTGTGATTGATTCCCTGCGAATCCTACATACTCGCTCAGGAGCATACGAATATTTGGTAGGGCCTATTGGATAGTTCTTGATATTCAATTGATTCCATTACGCTATATTGAGTTTTTGTACCTGTTATAGAGCTCCAAGTGACAGAACTTGAAACTTAAAGTGAGAATTTCGGTCGAGGCGGAATCGCTGCTAAACCAGTCATAAATCCCCATCCCCTTACAGTTCGGCTGCCACCAATCCGACGTCATATTTAGTAAGTACATGAGGAATCCTCTGTGTTCGCATCTACCTGCTTCTACTGAATAGCGCTGCTAAAATACCCACGGGCCTCGGATGCGCTCTGCCCTGGCGCGGGTCGGAGGTTCTGCTAGGAAAATCCCGATAAAGTTGCTGTATATTCTATGGCAGGCATCATCACCCCAGGGAAGTATATTTCCAGCATTGTGACTTCGCGTGCGTTTCACACTCTGTAGTCCGATATGCCCTCGATATCATTATCACCGTAGCCCCCTAGCAAAACCCCATCCGCCTCTCCCACGCTACTCACGCGCCTACCCTCACCCACGCACTCACTTTCCCTCGCCTCCCTCCCTCCCCCGCCACCAGCAAAAAACCAATCCCCCCTCACCATCACAAACAGCAAAAGATTGATATACTGGTCACTACGAGGGTCGAACTCGCGACCTTGGCGTTATTAGCACCACGCTCTAACCAACTGAGCTAAGCGACCATGTTTGGTTATTTGATATGAGCTTCGAGACCCGAATCCGCTCCTTGAAGCAGCCTCTCTCTTCTCGCCCACAAAAAAGTCCCCACCCGTCGGCTTCTTGGTTTGATATCCAACGGTTTATTTATATCTAGGTGACAGATGCCGCTAACTTGGCACTTACCATGCTTGTATGTAGAAGATGCATTGGTGTCGTTTTTGTGTCCTTGATGGGGTATCATACTTGCATGTACCATCCCAACGTTCCGTAGAAGAGAGCATTTGGATTTACGAGCAGCGACATTTGCTCCTTTCTTACCTCATGTTATAATTTAACTATTACCTGCCCAAAACCCACGGCCAAGCTTAATGGAATTTCCCTCCCAGAGCTAAACGAAATATTTCTAGTTCCCCCAAAACTCCAGCATACCTGCTGATTTAGAATGTCAATTAAGGCACTTACTCCCTCACCCCAACTTTATTCCAAGCCACCCCATCTTATTACACTTCATGTCTTCTTGCCGCCTTTCTTCGGTACAAAGTATCGCCTAAATACCGACATCATACCATCCCCCCCCCCCTCCTACGAGTATCTCAACCATCTCCCCCCTCCCCCCTCCCCTGACTAGCTGCACACATTAGCGGCGACGCAGCCGTCGGCGAGCGCCCGTTAATATCAACATCCCCCCCTCACGGTTGTGGCCGGGGGGCGGCGGTGGGGGGGTGCGGCCGTCGGGGAGGCGGTGGGGATTGTGGCGAGGGGGTTGGGGTCTGTGGAGGGGGAGGCGAGGGGGGTGGTTGGGAGGGTGGAGTGGTTGTGGGAGGCGGCGAGGTGGAGGAGCGTTTCGTTGTTGGGGTGGGGGCGCGGGTTTGGGCGGGGGTAAGGGAGGAGGTAAGGTGGGGGAGGATGAGGAGGAGGGGGAGGAGGTCGTGGGGGGAGGTGAGGTCGTGGAGGATGAGGTGGTGGATTTCGGGGGGGAGGGAGGAGAATGGTGGGGGTGTGTTCATGGTTTCGATGCGGGGGGTATCCGGGATTAACTAAACTGATTGATGGCCTTGAGACCGCAGCGATTAGCGACGTTGAGCTCCGGTGAACTCTATTCTAGAATTGTCAGCATCAGCGTTGGCAGAGAGACAAAATCAGAGGAGCACAATATGACTTGAATCAAAATTCGCAACCTGCGATCTTTATAACTAACAATGCAGATCGAGAAGTAAATAATGCTAGTATGAGTGCGCAGTTGTGGCTTAGGCGATGGCGTTAACATACGCTTTTTTTTTCTTACGGTTTTAATTATGATAAATTTTTGGATTTTTATAGGATGAGTTTTAGGGGGCGGTTAATACACAGCTTGATATAATAGTCTTTTATCTCTTGTTCTTAGGGGCATGTGTTGTGAGGGCCACTTAGTTTCTCTTTCGTGCGAGCTGGCCACTGTTTGGAGGTAGTTATCAGGCTATAAGGTGAGAGAATATTAGGAGTGTATTATAAAATACGAAGAATATTAACTATTTTACGTTGAAGCATAAGCAATGGTGAACCCAAGAAAAGGAGGTTCATATCAAGTGTCGACTTTACGAGGATGGCATCAATTGCTTACCCCGCGCTAAACCCCGACTGTGAGGAGCGAAGCGACAGGGCAGATCCAACGACCATTAGATCCCTTAATCCCCCCCTCGCTGCTCCCGGATCCCCCAACCGCCCAACCGCCCGCTAAAAAAGATTTTTCAACAAAAACGCTCGCTTTCGTTTCCCAATCCCCTGAACCACCCCGCACCTCGGTGCGTGTGGTGATATATATCCCATGCCATCTATATAATATGCGATGTATATGCGTTGTATAATGTGATGATGATATGCTGTAAATGTCGTCGTCGTCGGCAATGACCCCCCGTCTAAGCGCTGGCCTTCTCGCCACCGCCCTCATCCGCGCGCTCAGCCGTTTCCGCGCCATCGCTGTTGCTCTTCTGCGTTTCCCTCTCGGCAACCGCCTCCTCAGCCGCCTCCTTCGCTGCCTCCCTCGCAGCAGCCTCTTGCTCCTTCTTGCCCTGCACCTCCTCCGCCTCCTCCTCCTCCACCTCACCACCACTCTCCCCAGCCTCATCCTCCTCCACCCACCCCTTGGACATCTGCACCGCCTTCTCCCACCTCTTCACCCCCTTCTTCCTCGCCGCCGCCTCAATCTTCGGCGTGAACGTTCTCTTTCCACGTCCCCTCCACCCCCTCAACTCGTCAAGCGAATTCCACGCACCGACCGCCAACCCCGCCGCGATAGCAGCCCCCAACGCCGTAGTCTCGCGCATCGCCGGCCGCTCGACCGGGATCCCGCTCACGTCCGCCTGCGTCTGCATGCACAGATCCGACTCGGACATGCCGCCGTCGACCGCGAGGTTCTTCAGCTCCTTACCCGAATCAGCGTACATAGCCGCCAGGATGGCAGCAGTCTGGTAGCACGTCGCCTCGAGTGTGGCGCGGGCGATGTGACCTCGCTGCGTGTGCGCCGTGATTCCGAAGAGCGTTCCCTTGGCGTCGTCAATCCAGTACGGGGCGAAGAGGCCGGAGAATGCGGTGACGAAGACGACGCCGCCGTTGTCGGGGACGGAGAGGGCGAGCTTCTCGACCTCGGACGACTTGTTGATGAAGCCCATGTTGTTCTCGAGGAACTTGACGCCGGAGCCGCCGACGGCTACGGAGCCCTCAAGCGCGTAGGTGGCTTTTTCGCCGATGTGGTAGCCGATGGTGGCGACGAGGCCGTGTTGGGAGATGACGGGCTTGGAGCCTACGTTGTAGAGGAGGAAGCAGCCGGTGCCGTAGGTGTTCTTGGCCTCGCCCTCGTTGAAGGCGCACTGGCCGACTAGGGCGGCGGACTGGTCGCCTACGCAGCCTGTGATGCGGGTGCCCTTGAGCACACCGCCGACGAGCGCGCCAAAGGCCTCAGGGTCGGAGGAGGGAACGATTTTGGGGAGGATAACGTTCTTCTGGTCGATCTGGAAGAAGTCCAGCAGCTCGTCGTCGTACTGCAGGGTGTGGATGTTCATGAACATGGTGCGCGATGCGTTGCTAGTGTCGGTGACGTGGATGTTGTTCTGGGTCGCGCCGTTAAGGCGGTAGATGAGCCAGGTGTCAACGGTGCCAAAGGCGAGCCGCGACTCGTCGTAGGCCTTGCGGATGTCGGGTATGTTGCGGCACATCCACAACAGCTTGACGCTCGACGGGTAGGTCGACAGCGGCATCCCGCACAGGTCGCGGAGCTTGTCGGCTCCCTTGCGCCCCTTCAGCTCACGCACCAAGCTCTTGGTTCGGGTATCGGGCCACACAATGGCGTTGTACAACGGCTCGCCCGTCTCCTTGTCCCAGCATACTGTCGTCTCGCGCTGGTTCGTGATACCGATGGCCCGGATCTGCTCGGTCTTGTAACCCAGGTCCTTGAAGTCCTCCGTCGCCTCCTCAATGCAGTCATGCACCGAGGAGACCAGCTCGAGGGGATCATGCTCTTGCCATCTGGATCGGGGTGTTAGATCGATGACGAGCGGACAGTAATGAGGGGGGGGGGGTCAAAAGCTTACCCTGAACGCGGATACTTGTTCTCAAACTCGATCTGGTGACTCGCCACTGGCTCTCCGTGGCTGTTGAAAATGAGGAAACGAGAAGATGTGGTGCCCTGGTCTATGCTGCCGACGAACCACTCCTCGTCGGTGTCGGTGTCTTTCGGCGGGTCATTGGAGCCGGAGACATTGCTGCTCTCCTCGATATTCTCAACATGTTCGGTGGCAACTTTGGGGGGGTCGGAGAGCTTGAGGGAGTGCATGAGAGGTTGGAGGAGCGATTGTGACGCGGTCGGCAACTGCACCGTCATGGTGGAGGAGTTAGACCTCGTCACGGTTGTGGTCATGGCGTTGCGGCGTTGGCGGAGGGGGGTGGTTGAGAATCGGGGTTGTCGACGTGGAGAGGGATTGGAGCGGGTGGCAACGACGTGCCAGTTGGGCGCTGAGTTCCTGGTATTTCGGAGAGCTGAAGGTGAGAGTCTCGTGGTCGGATTGAGGATTGCTGATGGGGAGAGAGAGTGAAGATGGTGGAGAAGTTGGTGAGGGAGGAGTTGTTTGAGAGGAGGAGGAGGAGGAGGAGGAGGAGGAGGAGGAGGAGGAGGAGGAGGAGGAGGAGGAGGAGGAGGAGGATGATGATGACGAGGGGATCTGGGGAGTAGAAGGGCGGCGGATGATATTGTCCGAGTCAGGGCAGGAGTAGTGTGAGTAGTGCACTTAGTGCGAGATGGAGTGGGAGGAGTGGGAGGAGTGGGAGGAGTGGGAGGAGTGGGAGGAGTGGGAGGAGTAGGAGTAGTAGTAGTAGTAGGAGTAGTAGTAGTAGGAGTAGTAGTAGTAGTAAGAGTAGGAGGAGTAGTAAGAGTAGTAGGAGTAAGAGTAGTAGGAGTAAGAGTAGTAGGAGTAGTAGGAGTAGGAGTAATAAGAGTAGTAGGAGTAAGAAGAGTAGTAAGAGTAGTAGGACTAAGAGTAGAAGGAAAGGAAGTGGTGAGGTATGCACTTCCCCTCCAACCCCTCCTGCGCAGATAAAGGTACATGCAACCCAGGCTGAGTTCTGGCGACGGAGGAAGTCCCTTGGGTGAGCGTGTTGTGAATTACACCATTACATCAAGAGCCCCGTAGGTACTGTAGGTAGAGTTAGGTATTGTCGTGGTAGAGGAAGTTTGGGGGGGAGAAGGGGGAGAAGGGGGAGAAGGGGGAGAGGGGGAGGGGAGAGAGTAAAAGGGGTGGTAGAGGGCAAAAGTTGGAAGAAAGTGTGGGCTGGGTACTTGGCGGTACCTGGAAGTACAGGGATGGATGGTATGGACTGGGACTGTTTTTTTGTTTTTAGCATTGGTTGCATCAGGTGTGCATCATGTGAGAGGGCGGTACCAGACGTAGGGGGTTAAGTTAAGAGTACAGTAGCTTGGGAGAGGGAACCGGCAGAGAAGCATGTATTGTTAGTGGGGTGGTGTAGGTATAGTACATGGACTAGGGTACTGGGCTCTGGGCTCTGGAGCCAAAGTCCCAAGTCCCAAGTCCCAAAGTCCCAAAGTCCCAAAGTCCCAATCCATAGTGGGGAAATGGCATCAGGCACGTGCCTGCTTGGCCTTGTCAACCCACCCAAGATCTTTTACTGTACTGGCCTGGCCCACACACCAGATCGCCAGAGAAAGAAAAAAAAAAAGTTCGCTGTGGGTGTGATGAGTGCTGCTGGAGTGGGGTAATGTACATAAGCATGCATGCATCCCACCAAGCCGAACGCCGGGCGGGAGGCTAAATTCCAAATCCAGCCGATTCTAGACCGGCGAAATCAAAAGCCGTGGGGCGGCCTACACCCTCTAAAAACTACTCTCGCGGCTTTCCAGCTTTCCTCCCTAGACCTCTGCCGTTGCCGATTTCCCCGTTTTCGATTCCGAGTGCATACATAACTCGGAACCGAAAACGGGGCCGTCGTATGGCAGATTGATTCTTGATGGACGAGAAGAGTGGCCGATGTTCGTGATACTTACTCAGTAAGCCGCCTCGCCCATCTCCCACCGCCCATCACCATCTGCCCCCCCCCCCCCCTTCCCATTACAGTGGGACCCTCCAGACCCGCCCCGTGCATCCAGCCCCGCCCGCCCCTCTCTCCTCACGCCGGTTTCCTCTTTCTTTCAGGTCCCGTGGAGGGTTTGGGGGGAGACCATGCGTGCGCTGGTGGCGGCGACGGCGGTGGGTGGGGGAGGGGGGTTCAAGCTTGAATTGAGCGATTGGGGGGATTGGCATTGGCATTGGGCTGCTTCTGTTCCCTTGGTCGATACAGTCAAACCCCTGTTATAACGATCCTGGATAGAACGATATTTTTGGTATAGCGATATATTTTTGGGAACCAATTCTATTTCCACACAACTTACGATACTACGATAATCGTTACAGTTCCACCCGATTATTGTTATATCCAGTGTGACGTATTCTTAGGATCATGAGCCAGAGGCACAGTATTACATTAGAACAAAGGCGCGCCCTTCGTCGATGGGCACATCGACAGCACCCAAAGCTTACACAGAAGCAATGCATCGAATGGTTCCTCCACGAATACAATCACAAACTTAGCCAGTCAACTGTTTCTGAATCCTTAAGTCTATGCTTCTCCCACCTCGACGAGAATAATACACCACAAGGCGTGCGACTTTGAGAAGGCTTCTGGCCTGACTTAGAGAAGGTTCTATTTGCATGGCAGCAACTGGAGAGCTTCTGCAAACAAAGGCAAGAGATATCTGGCGCCAGTTTCCACAACACTCTGGCAAGCCAGTCCCAGAGTTCAGCATTGGATGGCTTGAGGGATTTAAGAAGCGCTTTAAGATATCATTAAAAGTTCAACACAGAGAAGCCTTATCTATCCCAGCTTCTACAGAAGAGGAAATGAGAGCCTTACAAACTGTGGCAGGGGAATATCAAGAGGAGGATATCTACAACATGGACGAGAGTGGCCTTTATTGGAGGATGATGCTCTTGTTACGGCTAAGTGCTAGTGCTATGGCTAGCACTTACGGCTGCAACCTCACGTGATGGATAACATCGGGTATCATGGATATTATGTTATCCATGTTATCCACAGTGATCCACGGAATATCAGGTGATGGATAACATTGGATATCATGGATATTATGTTATCCATGTTATCCACGGATATCCCTTTGGCATGACGCCACTATATAAGTAGATAGTATTTCCTTAGATAGGAGCTTCGTGCTCAACTCCATATAGTATTCTTTACAATACTGTAACGTGTTACTTGGAAAGCCTTTGTGTCTAATCCCCTGCCTCCTCTGTCAAGTCAACCTTACGCAAGAAACCTCTGTGTCTTCTATCGTTTAGAAGTCAGCGTTACAGCTCTCTTGAGGCCTCTCATCACAACATCATGCTGGTTTAAAGAAAGACAAGACTTGGATCTCTCTTGTCTTTTGTGTCAATGCAACTGGCACAGATCGATTTCCAGTCTGGTTCATTGGCAAAGCTAAAACACCACACGCTTTGCGATTTGTATCAGTTCATACAATGGGAGGGCAATGGCAGTGGAATAAGAAAGCTTGGATGAATACAACGATTATGACAGAGTGGCTTGAAGCTTTTTATCAGCATATTGGCACAACACGACAAGTTCTTCTTACAATGGACAACTTCTCTGCCCATTATACTGCAATTGAGCTATGTCCTCCTCCATCAAATATTCAAATATGTTGGCTACCTGCTAATAGTACAAGTCGCTACCAGCCTCTTGATCAAGGGATTATTCAGAATTTCAAAGCTTACTACCAGCGACATTGGCTACAATATATCTTACAATCCTTCGACTCAAATGTAGATCCTCTATCGTCAATGAATCTACACCTTGCAATCCGTTGGATCTTACGAAGCTGGAATAACGAAATTACAAATACTACAACCTACAATTGCTTTCGCAAATCAACACTTGTCTCTTCGTCTATTTCACTTCCTACTCCAATTATGCCTCATGAAGTTACAGAGCTATATCAAAAGGCTATGGAAGCAGGAAATATACAAGACGCTATGTCAGTTGCAAATTTTCTTAACCCTGTTGACGAAGATGACGATGGAGAGGATGAGCAGAATGTAGGAGAAGATGAGGTTTTACAAGAAGTGCTACAAGAGCATTTAGGTTTACCGACTACTCAAAGTGATGAAGAAGATGATGATCAGCTTCCACAGCCTATGTACTCAATGGCTGATGCTAAACAAGCTCTTCATATATTGATTGGATTTGCTGAAAGCCAAGAATCTCTTTCTTCTGATTATTTACGGACACTAGAGCAGTTGGAATCAGCAGTTGAGGGCATTCAGCAGGCATCATTAGTTCAGTATGGATTACATAATATATTCTATTTTGGTTACAGCGATATACTGGTTATAATGATAGTGAAATGTTGGACAGAATACATCGTTATAACAGTGGTTTGACTGTACTTACAATGATCCACCTCCTGTGCACAGAGCCTATAAATGCCAGCCTTCCGCTTCCCTGTTCCCGCTCTAGGACCAATGCTGCTTTTACCTGCACTGCCTCAAGGCCACGCTTCTCCACTTCTGGCGACCATTGAAGGGCCCAAGAGTGCTTAAAAACGCGAAATGGTTAATCGATTCCCCAAATCTGCCTCGGGCCTCTCGAAAGGCCGCATCCTGCATCTGTGATTATGACCGCGACTTTATGGAAACGCGAAACGGTTGGTCGATTTCCGAAATCTGCCTCGGGCCTCTCCAAAGGCCGCGTCCTGTGTCTGCAATCACGGCCATGGCTGTGTGGAAACGGGCTGGCTTCGGTGATTTTACTTCACCGTCTCTGGAATCTATCTGGAGGCCCAGAGTCTACGTAACCTCTGGTCTGACACTGGAGCCCTGCAACCAACAGTGACCCGAAAGGCGCGAAGCGGTTTCCTCAACCTAGAATGCAAGTCCAACAGTCACATTTTCCTTTTTTAGATGCATCCTAGGCTGTGCCTTCGATCACAGCAGCGGCTTCATTGGAGCGCGAAACGGTTGGTCGATTCCGAAATCTGCCTTGGGCCTCTTGAATGGCTGCATACTCTGTCTACGATCACGATAGCAGCTTCGTGGAAACGGGAAATGGTTGGCTGGCTTTAGTGTTCAGGATTTGGTTCTGGTTTCAAGGATTGGGTTTTAGTGTTGACGGATTCGGGTTGGCGAACCCTTGGCATGTCCCAAGCTTAGTTCCTTGGTGTGTCCCATGCTTTGAGTCCTTGCTTGATTGACTCTTTAGAATCGATATGGCTCCTCAATTCTCTGAGTATGATAACATGTTATGAAAGTCTGTCGTGTCATGTCGACACCTACCAGGTGAGTCAATCCAGTAGCTACTATACTGAAGCTATTTTTGCTTCTCTAGAGTTAAGGGCCTCATAAATGCCCTTCGAGATGTTCAAGACTTCCTGTCTGAGTGAAAGCTTAGTGGTGTAAGGACACAGGGCACCCAGCTCACAGTAATAGCATATGAGAGTGCAAGTCGGAGACTAAACGGATGCTATCCTATAGGTCTACTATGAAGGATACAAAAAAGATGAAGAGAGGAACCTCCGTTGGGTCAATCTACCTGAAACGGGTCCGACTCGGCTAACCTGCCTTCACTCTCACCATGTGACCGTAACTTGTCTGACTCAGATACCTTCCGTCACTGAGGGAGAGGGACCCCATTGGGTCAATTGTCATACTGACATTCGTTGCACTCAGTTTGCTATCAAACTCAAGAGCAAACTTAGAAATCTCCTCCTCAAACCTACAAGTCACCATACATATCTTGGCTTATCACACCAACAACAGAAGCAATACTACTCAACGATTGCTGCAAACTCTTCTACTACATCTGTTTATGCTACATACATCACGGCATATCATTTGAACACTCATTGAACAAGTTATTAAGAAAATCTCCTCCTTAAGGGGGTGGGCCAATACTACCACATGGCATATCTCTACCAACTAGAGGCCTAGGAACATGAACGATAGCTCTAGAAGCTTCTACAACCCTCTATGATTCATTACACGTCATCGCTCCTTAGTTACCCACAAGATTGGTTAAGTTATGACATAATTTATCTATAGGTACTCTGACCTTGGACCTCCTTTTCACTTCCTATAATCGTCGTAACCAACTTTTCGCTTCGCTCAAGGTTGGAGGAAGCGATCCGCGCGCACGAGAAATGGAGGGGAAGCGAAGTGCGCGCACGAGAAAAATTGTAGTCCTAAGTACCTCCCTATAGTAAATTGTATGTAAAGGTACAAAATTTCACCATTTTAAAAAATTATCATTTCCTCATTCCCATGATCACTCCCATTCCCGCTCCCATTTCCACTCCCATTCTCATATTCGCCCTCACTTTCGAGGGTTTCTGGATCAGGAATTGGGAGGCCTAATCCCTGAAGAGTAGCCAGGCTCTTCTTCCGGAAACGCTCTTCTTTCCGGGCCTTAATTCCAGCCTGGTGGAGCTGCTTCTGGGCCTGGTTTCTAGCCTGGCGAGCCTCCCGGGCTTCTTTGGCTGCGAGCTTCTGGGCTAGAAGCTCGGCTTTCTGGGCCCGAAGCTCGTGGGCTTCGGCAGCTACGAGCTCACCTCCGTTCTGAAGCCGGGCCCGGCTTCGGCTCGCCCGCTTCTTCGACTCCTCCACCTGCCGCCGAGCCACCCATAGGTCAAGTTCTTGGAGCCGGCCTACCACCATAACCTCTTCAGCCCCAGTAAGCCAGTTTGTATAGCTCGTACGTGAGGGGCTACTAAAGGCCTCCGGAACCCGGTCTTTCCAGCGCTGTAGCCCCTCTTCAACCCCCCGAAAAGTGGAGGGTTTAGGGGTAATAGGCCGTATTGGTAAGGTAGGCGTAGGCTCTTCTGTAGGCTGGGTAGTAGGCTGCGAGTATGTACGTAGCTTCGTGAGGGCTGTATTACAGCTTATTGGCCAGATTCCAGCTTTCCGGAAAGCTGAGAGTATTGTAGACTCCTTAAAAGTCTGTTCCCGGATTTTGGTGAGATCTCTCATAAATGAGGGTAGGTCGTATGTAACGTCCATATTCCGTATGGCATAGAGCACAGCCTCTCGGTGCCAGTGCTTATATGGCTGGAATATTCCCACATCTAATGGCTGTAAAATGTGTGTAAGGTGTGAGGGAAAGGCGAAAACGATGATGTTATATTTGTCTGCTGTAATGATGAAATCATCGCTCGTATGGCTTATATGAGAATCAAGGAGTAGAACCCTGGGATTCCCATTTGCATATGGAGCTGTATGCACTGCAAAGTGCTCTAGCCACCGTAAGGCAAGCTGGCTATTCAAATAGCCAGTATCAGAGAGTAATATCAGTTCTTTGCCTTTAAGATTTTCTGGGTACCAAGAATCCATATGGATTTTACCCGGTACAATAAGTACAGGTGGAATTACTCTTCCTGTTGCAGATACTGTCTCCATAACTGTAATAGACGTACGATTCTCAGGGCTTGGAGTATAGAGTTCTTTTACTGCCTGTGGTACCATAACTCTCTCACCTCCAGGAATTCCAATCCTAAATCCCGTTTCATCCATATTCCAAATTGACTCCGGTAATATATTGCGATCCCATATAAATTGGAAGTATTTTTCAAACCATTCAATAATCTTAGATTCGTCTTGGGCTTTCGTACGCTGCTGTGCAATAGGCTTTGTAGTGATAAAATGGAATTCCGGAAGCTGATTCTGAATATATTTAGTAAGCCAGCTCTGTGACGGTGGAGGTAATGGGCTCCGGAGCTGGCAGACTGCAGTAAATAGCATATTCCTATTGGCTCCAAGCCCTAGGTAATATTGCTCGAGGATCCATTTCTTAAGGGCCTCTGCCTGAGCAGTAGAGAGTACCCTATTCTGCCCCCCTTTACGTTGCTGTGGGTTCTGAATACGGCGCTTGATGCTTCCTCGTAGAGTTGATTCTGGGACCTTGAAAATACGACTAGCAACACGCCTCGACTCAGAAGGATTTTCTGCGAGCCACTCACGGGCATTTGATATAGGAGTCCCTTCCATTAAATGAATTACATCAGGTTACAATATAAATTACTATGTACAGCTATGGAAATGGTTTTGTTGAAGAGTAGCGGTGAACAGACGCACGTTTCTCGTGCGCGTACTTCGCTTCCCCTCCATTTCTCGTGCGCGCGGATCGCTTCTCCAACCTTGAGCAAAGCGAAAAGTTGGTTACGACGATTACATGTACTTGGGGTGTTCCTTTCCTTTTCACTACCGTGAAATGCGTGAGCTGTTACACGACAGGCACAAACTCGCCCAGCAGTCCTTCCATTTCTGGCTCAGGTCTTGTCCCATACTTCGACGTCTTCGAGCTCTTCGGGTCTGCCCTAGTCTTGCATCCAGTATGACAGCACCGCCCGGCGAGTATCCACCGGATCTCGCCGCGTTATTCACATCCGGAATTGGCGTCGAAATTGTGGAATGAGAGGTGGCTTCCTGCGTCGAACTCATTTGTGTCTATTGACCTCGTGAGCTGAGTTGGCACTGTCTCGTATGGAAATGTCGGTGACGAGGCTCATCAGTGACGACTTCCGGAGAGAGTTCATCCAGCTATAGACTTCTTCGGCTCCCGATACGCGTTCAGGGCCGAATGAGGTTGGCATCTGTAGAAATGACTACTCTCTGCTTCACCACCAATCTCGCCAGCTCCGTCTTAGCTTGACCTATGTCTGATGCAGGTATCTTCTTGCTGCTCTTTCCATTCTGACACTTCCCTTCTTCGTGAGACCAGCCAAGCTTTCGTTTCCGATTTGGAGATAGAGTTCCGAGTACCGCTCGTGGGCGTACGAACTCGGCTCGTTCAAAGTCAATCCAGGTAATTCCTGGCCGATCCGGGTGGACGAGAATGTTCCGGGCTGCTGGATCACCCTGCAATACTCCCAGCTGATGTATGGCATGCAGACCGGAGATGGCGTCGTCAGCGAGAGTTTGTGGGATTGGCGATCGTAATTGGAATCCTCCAAAGCTTAGAAACATCATATAGACAATACGAACGGCTCCTGCATAGTATAATATACTGTCCACTTTCGTCTCTCCTAGGTGCACAGGTACGCACTTCCCCTGAATAGGAAGGAGACGACGGTAAATTGTCGATTCGTGCATCAGATCTTTAACACACTCAATCCCGGTGCCTTTCGCGGCAACGGTGTACCCAAATCCAGGTAACTTGACCTTGAAAAAAGCTCCTCAAGCTCCATGAACGTTCATTGCCACACAATAGTCAAGCTGATTGCGCAACAATATGTCGCATGAATGTATTACGGTCGAGTTGATGATGACCTTTTCCATGTTCCTTGACATTCGGACACTGCCAATCGAGTTCTCCCCCATCTACCATACCCATTAGGCAGTTTGGCGTACAAAATCGACCCAAGTTCTTTTGCCGATGAGTCTCGCTAGAAGCCCCCTTTTTCCCACCACCTTTGGTCCCACCACGTTCGGTAGATTGTGATGGTGGGTTGGGGGAAGTAATAGGGTTTCCGCTTTTTGGAGGCCGTTGAGGACGACTTGGTGTGTCGGGATGATGGTTGTCATCATCGCTGCTGAAAGAAGACGTCACCGAAGCACAACTTCCCACGTATATGTTCTTCCTACGAGGTCGGAATTGGATCGGTGGCCCGACCTCCTTAACGACGACATTCCATGTCTTGAGCTGACGCAGAGCTTTCCTTATCCATTGTGCACTGCGTGGAGGCGTTTTAAGCGCGCGAAGAGTAAATGCTACAGCCTGACCAACTGCGGTCATATGCAATCGATTGGGCTCGTTTCCACGCTCGTCCCAGCCAGTGGACGCCCCGACATCTCCCTTTGGAACAGATAGAGAGTAGTACACGGTCAAGGGATCGTCAGGAATGCGCAGGAATATCGTTGCTTCACCAGTGTAGATCTCGCCATATTCCACCCCAGCCTTCACCATATATGAGAAGCGTTGCATGATCACAGCGGCCACCAAACGACGACAGCAAATTGCCACACTTTCATTCTTGCTTACTCCACAACCTCGTCCAGGTTCATCTTGGCAAGACCTTTATAAATATGCCCTAAGGTCAACTTATGAGGAGCTTTGTATTCGATCGTTAGCGCGGTCACTCAGCGCTCAGTCTCTACCTCACCACTGACATGTTACGGCTAGGCTGCGCACTACTCGCTCAATACTCGGCTCACTCGCTCAGTGGGTTACTCAGCTGGGTGAGTAGCTGAACCTTTTACTCGACTCGGTGAGTGAGGTCAATACTCAGTTACTCTGTAAAAACCCGGTGAGTACTCGGCTATCACGTGTAAGATTTATGCATCATGTGAACAGTCCCTCATACGATTAATACTGTTTTATGGTTAAGTTAAAGTATTACATCTATTAGCATCACTCTCGCCATCTCTAGTAAGCTGTGAGAACGAATCATGTATATTCCTCTATCTAAGTACCATGATTATCAGAAGATTATTAGAACGCTATTATCTATTATATATGCTTAAGAACATCCCTCCACCTTGCTTGATGAGGCCGGCCAGACCTACTAATACCTAAAGTATTTATAGGGTCTTGATGAGGATCCTCGACTGAGCGGAACGAGCTATGAGTCAAGATAACTGTGTATAGAACTTGTTCATAAAATGTCTCTTGTGTGAGAATATGATCTTATTATAGGTATTAACCTACATAATTCTGGTAATAATCTGGTAATCCTTACTTGTTGAGGTTGCATTTGATTGATTCGCATTTGATAGAGACTATCCTTCCCATCTGTGACTTCTTTTTGCAAATGTCTGATGCAAGATGTGTTGCCATAGACTTTGGGCCAGCAGACTTGATTGCAGGATGCGTAAGGGCCTTCGAACAATAAGTACAAATAACACATGGTTCTCCAGAAAGCCGGTCTGCTCCTTGGTGATAACTTCTCCAGTATTGAGAACTCCAGTTGGTTGAATCCCATGCAATCTTCATAAGGAGTTTTGTAGTATGATCTGAGTGTTGTTCATACCATCGTGATAGCTTCCACCACTCAATGAATATATCGTGTGTATCCTTAGTCCATTTGACGAATTGGTTTAACTTGCCAATATATTCAAGGCCTGCAGGGACTTTGTAAGGATGCCTGTCCCTCAGTGATGGAAAGGATCTGAGTCGGGCAGGTTACGGTCACATGATAAGAGTTAAGGCAGGTTAGCTGAGTCGGACCCGTTTCGGGTACTTAAGGAGATTGACCCAACGGGGGTTCCTCTCTTCATCTTTTTTGTATCCTTCGTAGTAGACCTATAGGATAGCATCCGTTTAGCCTCTGACTCGCACTCTCATATGCTATTACTGTGAGCTGGGTGCCCTGTGTCCTTACAGACTTAATTTAATGAGGATAGTCGTTGAGAAGACGGAAAAGAGTCTGAGAATACTGTCAGAATCAAACAACTCTGAGTATTGAGATGGCATTTGGCAAATTGCTCGATTATCAGAAGGTTACCAGAAGTCTGGCTACGATGAAGTACTTAAATACCTGGTTTTCCAACGCGAAAGGTACTCCAGCGCTATAACTTTAGCAACTCAAGTTCTCCTCTACTCTAGCTCCAGGAACAACATATCCTGTGCAGCTGATACCTTAGCCCACTTTTCCTTATCAAACTTCTTAGAGTAGACAAGTAAGAACGCCTCTTTGAAGCTAGAACTATGAGTGGATATTTGCAACCATCCATTGTCGACAAGATTGTAAGACTTTGGGTACCACTGCACAGGTCCTGGTAATTAGGCCCACTTTCCAAACTGCCTGCTCGTACAAACAGAAATATTTATGTGGTGGGATAACCTCGTGAAAAGTGCTATAATAAACAATTAGTATTGCCAGAAGATTGCTAGGATGATCAGAGACGTACCCTTCCTCTACATCAATCCACGGCATATACTCAAAGAGATGCTCAGGCTTCTTTCTCAGCTTTCCAGCCTTTCTCGTATATGAGTGGATACAGCTATCCCAGAAATGTTGCCACTTGCGGAAATTGGACTCTTCATGGGCCTATCAACTATTAGTATCACCAGAAGATTACCAGATTATGAGGTAGCATACATCAATGTGCGCTTGAGTTAAGAGAGCCTGGGTGCTAGTGATCTCTTCATCAGAAAGCTCATCTGGTAGAACAGCCTCGTCATTTAAAATATCTCGCGCTGTAACATAAGCTCCAACTCCAAATCGTCTTCAACCTCAGTATCCTCCCATTCGCTGTTATGATTGTCATCGATTGGAATACTTGAGATACCCTCAAATGCAGCAAGCTCAGACAGAAGTTGTTTGGGCGGAGTAGATGGTGGGGCTTGTGGAGAAGAAGAGGCGCTAATATTCTTGACTTTCTGATTCGCAATGCAAGATGCATGGGTACCCTTCTCAGTCCTGTTTATAGTTAGATTGAGGCTACCAGAGATTACCAGAAGGAACTTACCGAACACAAATACGCTCAACCTTCAATTCATTCTGTAGACGTGTCTTGTCTTCAGTAGAGGCAGCGATATACTTTGTGTAATGACACAGGGCACCCAGCTCACAGTAATAGCATATGAGAGTGCGAGTTGGGGGCTAAAAGGATGCTATCCTATAGGTCTACTACGAAGGATACAAAAAAGATGAAGGGGGAACCCCGTTAAGTTTGTTTCCTTAAGTACCCGAAACGGGCCCGACTCGGTTATCCCAACCCTAGCCCTGAACCTTCCACCGCAACAGGTCCGCATCGACCCTGAACCCTACACCCTTACCGTCCCCCACTATAGTGTAACTCGCTATGTCCTCCTCTACTGGTCCGAAACCACACCGAGTCGGATTTCATGCTTGTGGTGACCGTAACAGCTCTGAGGCGGGTTCTTCGAGTATCTAGGTAAGGAGGCATCCTTACACTTTGCAGACTTATATAACTTCTTTAAGTAGTAGCTCAGATCAGCATGGTCAGCCTTGAGTGCTAAGTGAACAGCCTTCTCATCTTCAGTAAGGTTGGAGACGCAGTTGCGAGCTTTGATAGTATTCGCATTAGTGGAGAGTTCTTCATGTGCCTTGAGTTTCGCCATACTAACTAAACACGTGATTAGCAGAGATCTCCAGAAGTTCTGGCTATAGAATCAAGATAATAAACTTAGTTGAAGTCCTAGAGAAGAGGTAAAGGCTCAAAAGGGAAGAAGAATGTGTAGATCGGAGAGTAACCAAGGAAGGTGGTTCTAAGGTCGTGGTTATTTTAAAGTTGCAAACAAAAATATTTGTGAAGGAATATTCACCTACAAAGAATTACTGTTCCAAAAACAACACCACAATGCGCACCTTCATATAAAACACATACCTTTCAACCTCTACCTCTTTACTATACTCTTCTTCTGCAATATTCTTTCTACAAACTCACTGTAAGTACACATATCTTTTGATCTACTTCTTTATCTTGTGTTTACTTTACTAACTCACCTTGATATTAGCAAATGACTCGTACCAAGCAAACTGCTAGGAGATCAACTGGCAGCATAGCACCAAGGATGCCACTTGGATTACGGGCTGGCTCTGGGCTTGGCGGAAAGGGACAGGAAAAGGCTGTGGGCACAGCAAGAAAAGCTCCAGTTTGCTCATCTCAAGCTAGCAACAATCATGCTCAGAAGGCTACGCGCTGCACAAAGTCTAGTAAGAGGATTACCAGAGGATTACCAGAGGATTACCAGAACTCTCTAATAAACATATAGGCACCAAGGCTCTCCGCGATATCAGAAGACAGCAACTTGATACTAGCTCCCATTCCAGCGTCTTGTTAGGGAAATCACAGAAGACTTCAAGTCCAATCTTCGCTTCCAGCAATCTGCTATCCTAGCTCTTTAGGAAGCTGCTGAATGCTTCCTCATTCGAGAATTTGAGAGTATGATGTTTAAACATAGTGACAGGGACATACTAACAGTTATAGTGGCAAACCTCCTCGCTATTCATGCGAAGAGAGTGACAATTCAGGCAAAGGGTATGATATTGGTTCGGCGTTTGCAGGATATGATGTTTAAGCTGTGGGCTTAATCGATGGAAATGTCTCTCACCCAGGAATGAAGGTCAGATGAGTTCTGGCAACCATCTGGTAACCTGGTACCTAAAGGCCAAAGGTTATAGTGTGGAATAGGACATCAACAATATGGGAATGGAGTTGGAGTTATGGCGTCTTGATCAATGAAGTCGCACCCCGTTTTTAACATAAGTAATGGCTAATCAAACACGTGATATAACTGAGTTGCCAAGACCCATACTAGGTACTCAGCAAGTGAGTAATCCTTATTCAACAATACTCGGGACATGAGTGAGTAACTCAGCTGGGTGAGTAAAAATTCTACTACCCGACTCGTGAGTACCCAGTGCGCAGCCTAGTTACGGCTAAGTTAGTTGGGCGCTAGGGTACAAATCGCTGGAGCGATCAACCAACTGATATATCAAGAATGGCTTCAATAGAATATATATTGTCTGGAGAGCAACGTCCTGAGCCAGTGCCAGGATGTTGCACTCGGTGAGTAAACTAAGCCTATTAGTTCTATATGTGAGACATCTACATGAGAATATCGAACACGTGACATGAACAGCTTCAGTCCCAACTGACACACCCCCTCAGGTAACGTGGAGATATCAGGAAACTGAGCTCAAATAGAAGGTAATTCAAAGGCACGATCAGCGTGTGTCGTCAATAGTTCGGTGTCGCAGAGTGCCTGCCAACCTGCCTGTCCGTTCGCGTCTGTTCGCCGTGACATTTGACTCCTGGATCTATAGCTTTTGAATATGGTCTCGGAGGTTCACCAGGTTGAGCTGTTGGACAAATACGTCGTGTTTTTGCTTTGGAAGAGCCTTCGTAAATCCGTCGGCAGGCATCTGTCCTGTTGGCATCCATTCCACATGAATGGCGCCAAGATCCACCTGCTCACGCAGCCAGTGTCCCAGTATATCGACGTGTTTCAGCTTCGTGATTAATCTGGGAGCCGACGAGTTGAGGAGCCTCACTGTCTGTAGATTGTCGCAACCAATTGTAGGATCTTCGTGAAGGTCTAATTCGACCGATTTGAATAGTCTCGTCCACCAGATAAGCTCCTTCGCAGCCTCTGAGACGGCGATGAACTCAGCTTGAGTCGTCGATGTGGAGACGTGTGTCTGTTTCTTGGACATCCAGGCGATAGGTCCGTTAAACAGCTTGAATAGAAAACCGTGGGAGCTCTTGCAGTTAGTATTGTCCGCAAATGAGGCATCGCTCGAAGGTTGGAAATAGCGCTTCACGCCCTGAGTCGTATTGTCCTTCAATTCAGTCATACTGTCCTTCGATCCCACCCCCTCAGGGGCTGCGGGCATAGGATGAGACGTGAAAATAGCCTCATAAGGCGTTTCCTCATCCGTATCGCCATATTGGATACCTAGCGTCCGAGTTCCTGACAAATAGCTAAGTAGTCTATATGCAGCAGAGTGGTGATCAGGGCCAGGATTCGTGAGAAACTGAGAAAGCTTTGCAACAGTGAATGAAATATCTGGTCGAGTCTGAATCGCGGCATATAGGCATGAGCCTATTCTCTGCTGATAGCCCAGAATCTGTTCTGGGGTCGCCGTGCCTTCAAAAGGGCGTAATTCTTGAGGAGAAAGTGGTGTCTTCGCTGGAGGTCCGTTTATATTAAATTTCTCAACCAGCTTTTCAATATACTGTTTTGTGGAGTGGTATGGTTCGTACGGACTTTGTGTCCTTTCCAACCTGGACTTTGATGTCCATGGACCGGAACCCTTCAATCCTTACTCTCTGGTCTCCAGCTAAGAGGTAGTTTCCGTCCTCACATTCCTTTAGGTTGTAGAACCTCATACGGTCGTTACAGACATGAATTGTAGCTCCAGAATCAAGGATTGTGCTCCTTGCAAGCTCATAGGTTGAGAGGGTAAGACCTTGAGTGACTTGGAAGGCTGTTGCAAAGGAAACAGGTATATCCTGGTTCGTACGGGGTTGTCCTCCGTCTGCCTTGTCCTGGTCTATTGCCCTTTGAATGCAGTATTGAAAGCCTGGCTTTTCACTTATGTAGGCATCAACTTTAGCTTCAATGTCTCAGTTTGGCTTCCATGACTTCGTACGCTTCGACTTCATGACATATAAGCAGTCCCTCCACTTATGGATAGACCTTGAGTGACTTGGAAGGCTGTTGCAAAGGAAACAGGTATATCCTGGTTCGTACGGGGTTGTCCTCTGTCTGCCTTGTCCTTGTTCTTCTTCCCGTTATTCCAACCCTGTTGTCCTTGTTGTAGGTTGTTCGTACGGTTCTGAAGGGTAGCAGATGTCTCATTATTGCCTTCTTGTGTTGCGAAAACTCCATGTTCCCCCTGAGACTTCTGGTCATATCTTGCCTGTCTCTGGTTCATTCGATAGGTCCGTACAACCTCCTCAAACTCATATTCGTTATGGTTTAGACAAGTTGTAACAAATGTTGAGTCTGAGAACTCAGGGATAAGGGATAAGTCAGAGGTTAGCACCTTACTGACTTTTCAGAAACAAGGAGTAACAAGATCAATGCTTGGAAGCTTGGAAAAGATGTGGAAGTATGTGATAGTCGATTTACTGTATTGTCTGCTTGCCCTTTCTTAAGGAAAGGGAAATCCTATTTATGCTAAAGGAGTGTAGTTCTCATTTTCCAAGACTTTCCATGACTAACCAGGCTTGGTAACTGTAGTCGACGTAAGAGAATCCCATAGAACCATCTCCTAGGTTCCTAGCCTATAGGAAGTGAAAGGAGGTCCAAGATCAGAGTACCCCTATAGACAGATTATGTCATAACTTAACCAATCTTGTGGGTAACTAAGGAGCGATGACGTGTAATGAATCATAGACAGTTGTAGAAGCTTTTGGAGCTATCGTTCATGTTCCTAGGCCTCTAGTTGATAGAGATATGTCATGTGTAGTATTAGCCCAGTAAGTAAGGAGTGATGTCATGTAATGAATCATAGAGGGTTGTAGAGATATGCTATGTGGTCATATCGGCCCAGTAACTAAGGAGCAATGACGTGTAATGAATCATAGAGGGTTGTAGCAATCGTTGAGTAGTATTGCTCTTGTTGTTGGTGTGATAAGCCAAAATATGTATAGTGACTTGTAGGTTTGAGGAGGAGATTTCTCAGTTTGCTCTTGAGTTTGCTCTTGAGTTTGATAGCAAACTGAGTGCAACGAATGTCAGTATGACAGGAACTAGAAGGGACTACAAACTAGAACAGTCTTTACCTATAGTTAGTTGTGCTCTATATGATTCTTAGAAGGGGAACTAGAAGGGACTACAAACTAGAACAGTCTTTACCTATAGTTCGTGCTCTATATGATTCTTGGAAGGGACTACAAACTAGAACAGTCTTTACCTATGGTTCGTGCTCTATATGATTCTTATGAGGGGAACTAACGTCTCTCCCTATGTCCCAAGATGCCCCCTGTAACAAGATGAGTCTATAGTTTTGAAATCATATTTTTTTCTTTGTTAGCCTACTAAGTTCTTATTACACTACTGATTACTGCTTTAGCTGTTCCCCCCTATTTAATCGTAACTATTAAAGTGCTTTCAAAATTCGGAGCACTTTAGAAAAGGTCCTATAACGAAGAAATATAACTCCAAATTGAAGATGCTTAGAGAGGGAGAGATTGTATTCTGGGAGTTATGCCGGTATAAGAAAGGGGTGACATGTTTCAGTGCTTAGTAATATAAATTAGCTACAACTAACTTATACTATATTCACGTCTAGGATCGCTATATTTACTCAGTCATGATTCTCAAGGCTGGTCACATGCATGGCATTTATCGGTCACCTATGTGGTGTAAGTCCAGGTTTGGCTGTTGCCTGATTATATAATTCATACCTAAGGCCTCAATTCATAATCTAGATACGTATTAAGGAGAATAAGTAGCTTGACTTATAAGCTAAAAAGGACAAGTCTAATGGCAACAAAGGCCACTCTCCACCAATGACCTGCTGTAACAAGCCGCATGTTTCCTACACAACTTGTCACAGGCTGACAAATATAGTGGACTGTCCTCTACAACAGTGGTTCCTGATCCTGCAACCACAGGTGAAGAGCAACGATAAGCGTAAATACTCTTGTCAAATCGGAAGGCTCTTGTAACTCAAACATGCCGCATTCATCTATCTCGACAAATATGCCATCATCAGATTGAACTCCATCAGATAGATATCTCATATATTGAGCAGGGAATTTGCCAAAGACCAGCGAAAAGACATTTTGGGCAGCAGATACAAGTGGCAATCTAATGGTATTAGTACTGTAAAAAGACGTTTCGAGTGTACTTACATGATATCATCCTGCAGAATATTTCCAGTCCTATCATATTGGGCATACATGCCTACAAGGTGAGCAGCTTCCTGGGCTTGCACTTTGAAGGGTTTTTCATCGACGTCATGCCAGGACTTGGCCTAAAATGATGCATAAGCATACATCATACAAAACCCATAAACTGAACTCACCTCAATACTACAGTACGAGATTTTTGATGCTCGCTGCCAATATCCTTCACGATGTGCTTTATGCACAAGGCTACCATCATTTGTTGTAGAATACGAGAGCTTTCCCGCCTCGACAATGAAAGTGTCATGCGTGATACTCCACTCTAGATAGACGCGAGGGTTACTTCCTCCTCTTAAAAGTTCAGTGACGCAGCGTAAAAGCTCATACACACAAGCATTAGTAGTCATTTCTGACTTGGTCCTATGGTTGTGACTTGACTGATCGCTTTGGTCGGAGGGAATATAACTATCAGAAGAACGGTATTGGCGCACTTTTTTACTCGGAGGTTGTACAGGAGATGATGGCTGTGACGGTAGTGAAGGAGGCAGTGGTGGTGAGGAGGTAATCGCTGGATATGCGGAAGATTCAACGTTTTGTGATCTCAGCTCTCGCCGAGGATCAGCAATGACAGGTTTCTCGAGTACCTGTGCCAAAAGCGTGAAGAATGATGCAAAATTCCCGGCGAGGCTGGCTAACTCATGATGTGTAAGACTCCGCCAGTTTTGCGTGAGAAGCGTAAGGGCAGATCGTATGTCCTGCGAATTTTCCACCCACTTTGCAGCTGCAATGGAATACGCTTCTAGGAATACAGGCAAGTCTTGATTCGGAGCCCTTCGCATGATTTGGAATGTTCCAAGCTCATGCTTATCCCACGAACTTCCTGGTCCAAGAGGGTCTGTCCTAAAGGCCAGTGAATCTTGCGGCCATGTCGGAAAGGAATCTTTGAATGCTTGTAAAGTAGAAGTATTAAACATTGTGGTCGCGATAGCAACGCGAGTTTTAGAGAACGTGCTAGCATAGGTAACTTGGATTAAAAGGTTGAAAGGCTTGGCAGATACGGCCGGAACCGGCTTTACATTTATCCGACGGATTATTTTGTGTCAAGATCGATGCACGTCAATGCGCCAACATCTTCGACGCGTTTAACAGAGGAGACGGCCTGAATCACTCACTTGCTGAGCACAATGGGCCGGCACTGGCTCGCTTTGCTTCGCGTCCTCCTCCGCAGTCTCGAACGGGCGCAGAAGGCCAGTCCCCAACTGGCAGAACTCGGACAGTTGCACGTTGCGATGTATCACACATATGCATTCGCCGAACCGCAGAACCTCAGCATCATCACGGACTTCGTGGGTCAAAAGCGTGGGTCAATACAGTCTATGGTGCTGGTCTTTGATCTCCAGTCGAGATTGAACTGTTGCACGGCGGACTCCTGCTCCAAATACGTCGCATCCGTGCTGGGGACATGGATTGGGGACAGCTTACTACGCCAAGGCACTGATGGCATCAATATTGACAGGTTGAACCCTCCTCTATGTTCGAATTATCTTACTTATGTTTTGACTTATAGACGGCCTATATTACACATCGAAAACGACTCCTATTCCCGCGGCATTCAACCCGAAGTGACTATGGTAGCTCAACCAAACACAAGCAGTGATGGAAAGTGCCTCCATTTATCGATAGTTATACGAAAAGAGCGGCAATCAGGGACCTCGATCACTTCGGCAGAGCTCTACACATTGTTTTCGATGGCGGCAACCCAAGCATCAACACAGCCTCTTAGAAATTCCCTGGAGGTAGATTGCCTAGTATTTCATCCAGACCAACGCTAAATTTGTCCAGGTGCGCATGCTAGTAGTGTATTCGAGATGGGTGCAGATTTTCACGGCGAGGACAACGCGGCTGTACGTTACATCCGTTATTCAAGGATGGAATGAAATTGCGGATCAGATGGTGATATATCAAACATCGTGGTTCAACTTTACAGACATATCATGCCAGCAGCAAATACTATTGTTTGCACTAGAATGGATCGACTTACAAAGTCATAGCCTCACCAATCCACGAGCGCCTCTTAAGGAAATGGGTCCGAGCGTACGAAACTCAAAGAATCTAAAGCGAAAGTATGATGCGGGTGAGTTGTATGAGGTGGAAGAGAGCACCAATGACGTATAAGCCGCTGTTTTGGTCGACTTATCGAGAGTGTCAGCATACTAGTGCAATTCTGTCACTTCGCCAAGTCATCACAGTCTTGGGTGCTGATACCGTGCTCCTCTCGACAACCTTTCGACCCTTACGGACTCCGTCATCGATAATGTAACGCTCGTAAAACTAATGATAGAAGTCCTTCTCTCACGTTGGGTTGGTTGGTAAGGCAGGGGCAGGAAGCAAGAGGTTTTTAGGTAACCACGTTACAGCAAAGTAATAACAAGTACTACATTGCTATGTTGAGTTGAGCACGAAGCAGTTGGAGAATTCAGGTGGGCAATCGATCATTTCATCTCTTCTATCAGTGATTAACTCATCTTTAGCAGATATGTCCGAATACGAGATTCCAGCTTCGGCTCGCGCCGAAATGGTTACTTATTTAGTAGAATTCATTGTTTCGCTGAGGACTTCCCTTCCACCCTCAGCTGAAATGATCAATTCTATGTTCATTCTTCATAGCCTTATTCACCCTCAGTACTGGGGAGATATTAATATTGACTTGGCCTCATCGACGAGGGCTTCGGTGGGGGGATGATGATGGCTACAGCGACGGAATGGTAGGCGGAGGAGCAGCGAGGATGCGTGGATGTGAACTCGTGTTACAGCTTCGAGAGGCCGCCTCTCCAAGCTTTGCCATGACTTCCACTTGCAAGCTTAGCACGGCTGAAGTGTCATCTTCTAAGTCGGAGAGCCTGACTTTTCGTTGGGGCGGACGGAGGGACGGAGGTAATTGCTTTTTTTCAACGCTGGCTTCGACACGACGTTCGTCTTGCGGCAAAGGAGGTAGTCGACTTCCGTCGCTTTCGTGGTGGGAATTGAGGCGTGAATTGTTCCTTACACTCAAAAATAACCGTGTGAGAGCCCATATCGAGATTGTCCCTATTTTGCACTCCTCTAGTCGACATTGCTGCCTTTCGTAGGCCATTCATGCTTCGTGTATCATCGAACATTTGATTGTATCGCTGCTGGATTTCCATCCACGGCAGTTTTTCCCTATGCCATCGACGGATCATATCTCTTTGGGTTTGAGAATATTCAGTCATTGCGGGGATGCAGTTGGACGGCATGAAAGGTGGAAGATGTGGGGATGCAGTAGGACGGCATGAAGGGTGGAAGACAATTCGATAGCTGTGACTCTTTATCATGGCTAAGAAAGTGCCAAAGTATGGCCCAGATACAAATCGAGTAATTCTGGTCGCTTACCCCTCCCTCCTGTCCAGAGCTTCCTTGTGAAGTATAGCTTTAATCGTTGAATTGAGACCATGCCGTTGAAGGTCAACGTGCCTTGGTTATTCGTATAAACTGAACATGACTTTAGTTCTTCCAACGGAGTTAACGTGCGTCCTGTCACAACCTTGGGCGCAAGGGGGCGGCTGGGAATACTTACGAAGACGCACCTATTCTGATTGATTTATTTATTCATACTCGGTTTAAGTTGCCGAAGTGCTGCCGTCAGTTATTCTGCACACACACAAAACGAACGCCACTGTCATCACATGATTAAAAGCATATGCGATTTGTTGTAATAGTCACGTGATCTCACGTGATCTTCATACGAATTATCGGTAAAGACAAGTATAGGTTACATAGTGAGGAATACATACATTTGATTACTCAACAGTTATGAGCCCGGAGCACATCGGGGTCGCATTTTGAACGTCTTCGAATATCGTACATGTCATACTGACATTCGTTGCACTCAGTTTGCTATCAAACTCAAGAGCAAACTTGGAAATCTCATCCTCAAACCTACAAGCCACTATACATATTTTGGCTTATCACACCAACAACAAGAGCAATACTACTCAACGATTGCTACAACCATCTATGATTCATTACATGTCATTGCTCCTTAGTTACTGGGCCGATATTACCACATAGCATATCTCTACAACCCTCTATGATTCATTACATGACATCACTATTACTACCACATGACATATCTCTATCAACTAGAGGCCTAGGAGCATGAACGATAGCTCTAAAAGCTCCTACGAACCTCTATGGGATTCTCTTACGTCGACTACAGTTACCAAGCCTGGTAAGTCATGGAAAGTCTTGGAAAATGAGAGAACTACACTCCTTTAGCATAAATAGGATTGCCCTTTCCTTAAGAAAGGGCAAGCAGACAATACAGTAAATCGACTATCACATACTTCCACGTCTTTTCCAAGCTTCCAAGCATTGATCTTGTTACTCCTTGTTTCTGAAAAGTCAGTGAGGTGTTAACCTCTGACTTACCCCTGAGTTCCCAGACTCAACATTTGTTGCAACTTGTCTGAACCACTTCACTACATCACACACCTGATTGCTGCGTTGTGGAATAGTCTAAGCTACGACCCTTTGGCTCTGTTTTCTAAGACAGTGTGTTGTCTTAGTAAATTCATCCCTTCCTTGGGTGGCTAGATTCTCACATCTGGTGCACCCACCATTACAGGAGGGGTGGTCGCTGGCGTTGTTGTTGGAGTCAACAAGAAGAAGTGGACGCGGCTGCGTACTCATAGTCTGACTTACAACAATGAACTCCAAATCGGGTTAGCGCGGCCACTTCTCTTTACATACGACGGAAAGTTCAACCCGAACGCTTCGCGGATATGATTTGGAGCCCACTCGGACCACCAGGAATGTACTGTTACGACGGAACAAGAAGGCTGGCCAACTACAGGACAGGAAGGAGGGAGGTCGCATGAGACCGGCCCTGGTACCTGGAGGGGCAGCGGGGAATAGTAGTTCCGAAAGTATCACGTGACGGACTCGCAGAATGATGAGAAGAGTCCTAAGAGTCCAGGACTCCGAGGACTCGAGTGAGTTCCCAGGAGTCCACTAGGCACGTGATGGACTCGCAGGATGATGAGAAGAATCCTAAGAGTCCAGGACTCCGAGGACTCGAGTGAGTTCCCAGGAGTCCACTAGGCACGACGCCACTATATAAGTAGATAGTATTTCCTTAGATAGGAGCTTTGTGCTCAACTCAATACAGTATTTGTTATATACTAGTAACGTGTTACTTGAAGCCTTTGTGTCTGATCCCCTGCCTCCTCTGATAAGTAAACCTTTACGCAAGAGAACCTCTGTGCCTTCTATCATTTAGAAGTCAGCGTTACACTTTGAGCACCACTTCTACGAGGCACTGGCTCATACACAAAGCAACATGTCTGTCGTCAGTTCGAAGGGGAAAACCCCCACCACGCCAACTTCGTCTCAGAGGTCTAAGCCTGAGAATGAAGAGATGCCCGATGCACCCACCGTCAACGAACTCAAGGAAACTCTACGCGTCAAGTTGCCCGACACTTACTCTGGCAACCGAAAGGAACTTGAGGTGTTTTTGCTACAGGTCGAACTGTACCAGCACTTCAATGACGAGAAGTTTCCCACCCAGGAGAGCTATGCCCTGTGGACTGCGTCCTACCTTAGGGGGGAAGCCCTGCGATGGATCGAACCATTCCTCAAGGATTATTTCAAATATGAGAGTACCAATGGAAGCATGGCAACTACGCAGACTATGTTTGGCAGCTGGAAAGGATTCTGTAAGGAAATCCGACGCATGTTCGGAGACATCGATGAGATTAAGACCACGGAAGACCATCTGTTTGCACTTAAGCAGACTGGCAGCGCCCTCACGTACTCCACAGAATTCCAGAGATACGGCAATCAGACAGGATGGGACGCCAGCGCACTCATCAGCCACTACCGACGTGGGCTGAAGAGCCATATACGTATGGAACTTGCCCGTTTGGAACAACAACCAACGGACATGGTAGCGCTAATCGAACATACGGTCCGAATCGACAATCGACTATACGAATTCCAGAAGGAACGTCGGACCTATGACAAGCCCAAGAAAAGTTACCCCTACCGGGGAAACGAGGGCAGACGACGGGATCAACACCCGCGAGACAACCGTTGGTCGGACCCAATGGAACTCGATGCCACGTTCAAACCTGGACGACCCCGTGACCCTAAGAAAGACAGACAATTCAAGGAACGACTCTGTTTTAACTGCGACAAGCCAGGCCACATGGCCCGAGACTGCAGACAGCCAAAGAAAGGGAACGGCGGACGCAAAGTCGGCAAACAACTCAATGCCACCTGGACAGGACAGTTGAACGCAACGTTTGTGAGCAAACAGGACTGGGGGATAAACAGCGAAAGCACCCCAGAAGACGAGAGCTCAGATGAAGGGTCGGAGGCGGAATCGTTCACCGTCTCGGAACAGGAGACCTTCGACGAACTCGCACCTACGGAACCAATGAGTCCACGGTGCAAGAGCGTAGTAAGACACATGGCAAAACACGCCCACGCGAAGATTAGGGCCGAACGAGACAAGCCCAGCGGCCAGAGGAGAATCCCCACGCTTAAGGGCATCTACGGGAACCTGTTACAGGGACTTCCGTTAGAGTGCAAGGTGGACGACTGCAAGGATGACCTCTGGAGAACTACGACCAACTAACGAATACCCGCAGGCTGCTTGGCACGTCCCCAGACGTAGCTAAGTTGGAAGCCCAAGAAGCGGAAGAACTGGAGAAGGATGTCGAGCATATGGCTAAACTGAAGAATATGAAAAGCATCGAACTTTACTACCAGGACCGCAGGAGAGCCCTGCAGAAGTACGACGAGAAAGCCAGAGGTATGCTGCGACGGGAAAATGCGAGACCCACTCCACGCATCGAAAGGAGAGCCATGGAGCAACTAGACATGTTCTCCACGCCTCCGAGGAAGATAGTGCATGGGTGAGAGGACAGCGGGAACTATTAACGACAGACGCAACAGAGACTGATCATCCCTGGCACGCGTATGTCTACTGGGAGTATTGCAGCGAAGATGACTGCAAGCTCCACTGGAAAAAGAAACACCAGAATCAGTTGTTTCCCCGATCCTCGCCCAGGATACACTTCAGAGACGCAGAGCAAGTTCACGCCCTCAGGCGAAGCCAGTCTGAAGGGGACTTGCCTATCAAAAGCGAACAGGTATACGAGAAATACCCACATCTGCTAGACGAAGCAGAAGAGTGAGGGAAACGATCTCCCCAAGGACGACCATTGGAAGCGGATGAATACTATGCTTCCTCGGACGAGTCAAAAAACTAGGAGTCCTCGACGGTAGGCCACTGGCGAGCGACACGAAGAGGCCTAGTACAGACCAGCTATGCGCCACGACGGGCAGCATGCAACTATATGTGGTCGCTAAGATACAACAGCGACACCTCCGAGCAATGATTGACTCAGGAGCGACGGGCAACTTTATGACAAAGAAAGTAGCAGACATGCAAGGTTTCAAGACGCAATTGAAAACCGAACCATACCCGTTAATGGTCATAGATGGAGAGCCCATCTCGACTAATGAAGGAATGGTGACCCACGAAACGGTCCCATTGGAAATGGTCATGCTACACGGGCACAAGGAAACGATTCAGTTTGACATCGTGCACATGGACAACCATGCGTGCATCCTTGGTGTGCCATGGCTCAAGAAACACAACCCCCAGATCGACTGGTGGAACGAGAAAGTTGTGATGAGCCAGTGCGCGTGTGAACAACGGACGGACACGCGACAACGGGAGAAACCCTCCCAGGGCCGGAAGGAGTTATGTGCAACCTCCGAGCTCGATGACCTAGCCCAGGCATCCTCACCGACGAGTATACCGGTGGAGTACAAGGAATACGAGCAATTATTCCAGGAAGGCCCTAAGAACGAGGCGCTTCCTAAGCACCAACCATGGGATCACGAGATACCCCTAGAGAAAGACAAGAGTCCACCGTTTGGACCAATATATCAGCTATCAGAAAAAGAGCTAAAGGTACTCAAGGAGTACATTGATGATAACCTAGCAAAAGGATTCATCAAACCATCCACATCACCCGCAGGAAGTCCGGTGCTTTTCGTACCAAAGAAAGACGGCTCCCTACGGTTATGTGTGGATTATCGAGCGTTGAACAACATCACAATCAAGGACAGGTATGCCCTGCCATTAATCAATGAACTACACGATAGATTTCAAGGAGCAAAGATCTTCAGTAAGCTAGATCTGCGAGGAGCATACAACCTGATCCGAATCAAGGCTGGGGAAGAGTGGAAAACAGCATTCCGCACCCGCTATGGCCTATTCGAGTATCAAGTCATGCCCTTTGGGCTAACAAACGCACCCGCATCCATGCAACGACTGATGAATGATGCTTTGCACGAATACTTAGACATCTTTAC